TTCGTCTTCGAGGCTGGTGTTGCCGGCACGGAACTTTTGGAACCAACGTTGTACTGTGCATTCGTTGACACTTCCCTGGCCCCATACTTCGTTGATATTTCGAGCGGTTTGAGAGGCAGTCCGACCCAGTTTGAACTCATAGAAGTAAATTTGACGAAAATTGCGATTAGACATCTGAAAATAAAAACCACATTTTTTCGAAATTAAGCGATTTGAATGAAATTTCACATACATACTCAAAAAACGCAAAGAATAAGCTTTCCAACAATGTATAACACCCCATGAAAAAGGCTTAGTTTACTTTAAAAAAAATAATGTTGAAACTAGTAAACAAAAAACCTGCATTTCTTTTGCACCAGCCTAATAGAATCCTTCAGTGAAAAATAACCCTCACTGAAATGAATTCTTATAAGCTTCATAACAACACTTCCATACACTGAAACAATGACTATATAATAGCACTAACCACGATTCGCAGGCCTGTCCTGCCACCGACCGGTCGGTTCGTCTCGCTGCTCCCGCGCAATTCCTATTGATTCCTATCTACTCGGCCACTGCGGTTAGCTCTTCGAGAATTCGCCTTTATTCACTACCGGATCGCTATTATTTCCTTCACTACAAGCTCTGCTACTACTTTTTCAATACTCACGTGGCGGAAGCAGTTTGTCGCCTCGCTGGTTTACTCTTTCCGGTCAATCACCAATTACATTCAGTGTGTTGGAAAGCGAGACTCCTGTGGCAGGGACAATTTCGGTTCAAGCATTCATCCACCATATCAGGTGTACTCTTTCCTATATTTTGTGTCTGTATTTGCTTATCGTTTTCGAATTTCCTTAGTGTGCTTTCTGCCTTTTCAACGCTCCAGAGGCACTTGTCGTCTCGCTGGTTTGCGTCTTACTGGTCAATTACCAATCGGTTCAGTTGTTTGAAAGCGAGACTGCTGTTGCTGGGGTCAATTTTTTCGATTCAAGCATTCAAGCACCATATCAAGTGTGTTCTTTCCTACACTTGGAACCATCTACGCTCACCTTTTATTCAATGGATTCTGTACCTAATCGTGCTCCCTCCAACCTTCAGGGACCTCCGGTGAAACGGCGACTGTCTTCCCGTTCGCCATTGGACAATAGTGATCTCGTCGATGCAGTCAAGTGTCTGTCCTCCGACAAACAACTTCCCTTGCACGTCAAGACTATTTTAACTCATCTTCTCAACAAAAGCACGGCCATGGAAGATCTTGTTCAGCAGAATAGGAAATTGGAAGAAAATTTCCGTGAGCAAACGCTTGATAATGAGGGATTAAGGAAGGAGATTGATGTTTTGAGACTATCTTTATGTAAGAATGGTAATAATCCTCAGTTGACTACACAGTCTTCCCCTGTTGTTGAAAATCTCTCTACGAATGTTCAGGGTAACTGCAATATTGTTGTTCTGAACATGAGCGCTCAAGATTTGTTGTGATCTCGGGTTTAGCTTAATGTACTGATCCAAGCGCTATTGTTAGGGTCTCCTTTGATGTTGTTGTTAAGAAAATTTTTCGTTTCCTCTCGTTCGAATGTCTTCCTGTCACTTGTCACAGAATGGGTAAGCCGAGTGCTCTCTGTGTTGGGCTTCTAGAAGTGGTATTACCAACTTCTGTCTTATAGAAACAAATTCTTGCTAGAGCCTCTTTTTTGAAGCACTTTCATCTTTCAGGTATTTTTGTACGACCCTCTTTCACTAAGTCTGAGTCTCCGCTTGCCAGGACGGCTCTCTCTCGTAATCCTATTGTTCTTGATGCTGTTCATGTCATCTCGTCATCTTCACCTTCGGTACATGTTGTGTCTAATGGTTCAATGAATGAATGTACCGCTGATTCTATGCCCAACAATGGCGATTCAAGTAATGCTAAATCTGATGCTTCGTTAACCGACTAATTGTTCTTGGCGCTCAGATAAAGAGATGTGTTGTCTTTCGGCTAAGCGAGATCTCTGAGAATATTAATTCCTTGGTTTACCTTTTATCTGGCTGTGATTGTGGGGTCGTTACTATCACGGAGACATGATTGAAGAAGAAGGATAATCTAGAGTTTTACTTGGGCAAAGTTTCACTTTTTTATGGTGTTTTCAGGTGTGATAGTCTAAAGAAGAAGGGCGGTGGGGTGGCCTTCTTAGTAAAGGAGAATTTTTTCTGTCCTTGTTTTTGCTAAATGTGTTCCAGATGCTTATAAAATTTTTGCAGTTGATTTGCATTACACTATTGGTAATCACAGGTTCATTTTAGTTTACAGAGCTACCAAGTGCTCGTTTGCCCATTCGAAACAACTAATCAAATGTTTGAGTGATTTGTCTACTACTAGTTTCCCTACTCTTCTCATGGAGGATTTCGATTTTCCAACTATTGGCATGTGTGGCATCCCGTACCTTATTCTTCTGATTCTTTGACTGCTGAATTCTTGAGTATGACTATCAATCATAACTTTTTACAACTTTCCATCTAGACTTCAGCATTTATTTATTGACCTTTTATTTTGAAACAAAGTTGGGCTTACCTCTCGAACTGAAGTGTCACCCCCTCTGGAACCAGTGATAACTTAGTGGTGAATTTTTTTCTATATTATAAATATTAATATTATTAATATTATTATTATATTATTAGTAAATATTTCTCTTCCCAGTGATTATTGAGTTTATTCGCGTGATTTCAAAAATGCTGATGTTATTCGCCTCAATTCCTTTTGGATTCCGTGGATTGGTTAGGACTCCAATGTTTGGAAATGTTTGCACCTTGGAAGAAGTACTTGTCTTCCTTAAGGGAATACCAGTTTATTTGAGACGGTACGACTTGCTCAAAATACGAGCGTACGAGAGAGTTCCAAGTCTAACATTTCGAATGACTGGGATCTGTAAGCTTGCCTCTGATAGGTTTGATAAGGAACTCTTTCGATTTAAAGGCACAGGTCAGGAAAAGGTGGTTCCGGAGATTTGCATATAGTTTGAATTCGAAGCCCCCTCTGATACCATTTGTGCAGGAATGAGGTCGAAAATCGTTAGAATAGGGCACAATTAGGGCAGGAACATTGGGGGACGTCAGGGCTCCGCCCCTCGCTAGGCTGACTACGCGTTCGAATTTTCTTTCACCACTTTCGCATTGGAGCGAAGTTGGTGGAAAATCGATACGCTGATTGGCAAATTGCCAGGAATTGTCAGCTGGTCGACCGCCCCCTTCTGGTACTAATATTCGGCTGCATTTCAACTGATTGGCTTCAACTGAGCATAAATCTTCAAATAAAAGTCAAAGAGCGTTCTTGACATTGTACAAGAACACATAAATGACCCCAAATGAAGAAAATGCCTTGCAAATAAAAAAAAATTTAAATCCTAGCATGCACTTTATAAAACAACGTACTATATGAAAACTTAGGTACATTTAATCGTAAAATGATCAATATAAGCGAATTTACTCACCTTTCTGTGCAGAACAACTGAATAAACATAAAAGTTCAGCGAAATATCAGTAGGGGAATAAATAGTTTCAAGTATGTAGTCTAAATCAGCTGTTTGGGTGTTTTGTGTGCCATTGCACACATGGCGTCAAATTCCTGTACTTCCGCAAAATTTCACTTAACCACCGTTTCCCCGTTATGAAACTCGTCCTACCACTCTTTCCTCTTTTTTTTCGGCCGTTTGTTTTCCTTTTTCTTGCTGTTTTTAGCGTTTTAGGCTTTACCATTGTCCTAGTATAGGCCTTACCTACCACTATCTCTGAAATACCGGATACCCCCAAAATTGTCCTGACCTGTGCCTTTAATTGCTCAGTTGAAAAAAAGCTCGTAGAGTCAAAAAATAGGGAAGCCTTGTATAAGTACATCAATATAAGAGTCAATCGTAAAGAAGGCGTAAGCTTTATTAAGTCTGATGACTCAGTTGTGGCTTCCGATTTTGATGGAGCAAATGTACTTGCCGAAGTTTTTGCCAACGTTTGTCCGCATTTTAAGCCAGTTGTGACTCCGCCCCTGAATAGCACCCTGTTTCCAACTATGGAGGATTCTCTACGGTTCGATCGTCGTGAGATTTTCGAGTTTCGTTCGAAGTAACATAGTTGCTCCTCGGTAACGCCGGATGGCATCCCCTTCCCGTTAATTAAAGTGATTACTTCCAAAATTCCTTCACCCTTGGAATACCTCTTCGTTCTGATCTTTTGTCGTGGGGAGGTCCCAAATAGATGGAAGCATGCGTTATATGTTCCTTTACTGAAAAAATCACCTGGTTATGATCCGCACAATTTCATACCTATGAGTATAACTTCGCTTTTATGTCAAGTGTTTGAAAAAATGTTGAAGAAGAGTATCATGCATCACTTTGAACTCAATCGTGTTTTACCTAGCTGTCAGCATGGATTTAGGAAAGGGATATCTACAGAGACGTTAATGTTGGAATCATTAAGCGATTGGAGTGCTGCGTTGGATACTAAGAAGAGTGTTTATGTGGTATACCTGGATTTTCAGGTCTTTGACCGTGTCTCTCATGAACTCCTGGTTTTAAAGCTCGCACATGTGGGTACTCATCCATGGATCGTTGTTTGGATAAGAGCCTTCCCTGAGAATCGCACCTTCCAAGTGATACTCAATAGCAAACTATCTTCAGTCCGGGATGCTCCCTCTGGTGTTCCCCACGGAGGCGTTTTATCTCCTCTTCTTTTTGCTGTTTACGTGTATGACTTGCCCGCAGTTATTGCTAAAGAAGGCATCACCCGTAAATTTTTTGCCGATGACATCAAATTATAAAGTTCAAAATGATGAAAGATATATGCGATTGCAATCTGCTTTACATGCTGTTTCTCAATGGTCTCAAGATTGGTGCCTTCTTCTCTCTCCGGAAAAAACGAAAGTTCCTCATCTTGGGAGCAATAATTGTCGATTTTACATCTCTTGTCAGGCGTCGTCGTTAATACGGTCGATTCAGTGAGGGACTAGGGTTTATTGTGGGCAATAAACTCTCGTTTGACGAGCATTGTAAGAGCATTACTAATAGAGCGGAGCAACGCCTTTTTCTTTTGCCATGTTCGACTCTCAATGAACCTCAGCAAAGTTCCAATACTGCTTTATTCTATTAAAAAGAACACAAGGTTGAGTAACACAACTAAATCAGCTGATGCTTCGGCGATTTTCGCCTTCTTCGGAGCCTAAAAAGATGGAAACCAAATCATGATTTATTCGACCAAATGTCTCACCCCCCACGGGACCTTCGAAACAAGATAAGTCATCACGTAATTAATAGTGAGATGGAAACCGTACCTTTAGATGTTTTCATCTCACTTTTAATTACGTGAAGAAAACAGGCGAAAATGCCGAAACGTCAGCCGATTTAGTTGTATTACACAACCTCGTGTTCTGTTTAATAGAATAAAGCCTTTTTCTTTTGTTCAAATCTCTGTGCTCTAAGGATTCGCAGCTTCTCATTTTGGCACTCAAAACTTATGTTAGACCTGTGCTTCAATATGGTACGTGCCTTTTCTCTCTCAGTAAGAAAGCTTGGTGAATCGGATCGAGAGAATCTAAAATAGTTTCAGTAGGTAGGTTTTCCTCCGTTCACTCGGCTTCACGTATCGCAGCATTCCGCGAAGTATCATTAAGAACACTGTGCTAAGGTAAGACTCTTTTAAGCTCTGAGAACGATCCTTTGATGGTATTCAGAATTCTTCATGGCCTGATTGATTTCAAATCCGGAGATTTCTTTAAACTATGTCAGTCATCAACACGGGGTCAACTACTAAAATTTCTTCTTCGCAGGCCATGTTCTTCCCAGTAGCAACTTCCTCACTTTTAGAGCTGGATCTGTTCTTTTGAAAGTTACCAAAAAGTGTACGGTGCCGGGTTTCATTGCTGGTTTCAAAAAACTGTTGGATAGAAATCTTTCTCTTGCTAACCAGTTTTTTATTGGTGTACCAGTTATTCACTTTTGTTTCGCATGCATTCTTTTGCCCTCTTCTTACTGGTGCTCTTGATTTGTTTGTCTGTATATTTCTTTTTACTTGTTATAGATGTTTTGCTCTATTACAAGTGTGCTGCATGTAATAAAACTTGAAACTTAAAACATGTATTGAGATCTCTATACACTTTGCTCATTATTGTAGGCAATTGGATACGTTTTTCAGCTATGCGAAGAAAACCGCATTCCTGAACAGGCAAGGTATATCTACTTTGAACTTTGAACGATAAAGCTTGAGCTACGCTATCAAATATTCCTTTGAAAGGACGAAACTGACCTACCATTTCTAAATCGACGAGATTCAGCAAACTTCTATACAAGGGCTCATACATGCAATCGATGGTCGATTCTTTTGCAACAACAAATACATATTGAAATTCAGCTGCCCATGCCCGTACCATTTTTCGTGCTCTGCAAATCTTATCGTTGAAGCAAATATGCCCCATACAAGAGAAAATTCTGTGAAGTAACGCTTTTACAAGTTGGTCACATTTTCTTGTTGTTTCGCCAGGAGCCATATCGCTCAATACTACCAACCTCATCTTTACCCAGTAACAAGCAGAATGGAGTCAAAAAAAAAGAAAAGAGAGCAGACATATAGTGAAAAATAAAAGAGGAGTGGTTGCAAAGATATTCTCGCTTTGGATGCGTGCGAAGGGTTGAATCCACGGTTATCCCAAAATGAAACTTCGTTCATCACGAAGTGCTTGTACAAAGTAGGATGGCTCCGTCTCAGCCGCGTCTTAATGAATATTATGCGGTATTGGGCTAGTATTTTTGAACTTCGATGAGCGCGTGTGCACTCGCTCTTGATCAGAAATGGAGCCCACATACGTTACAGGAAACAACAAACACAAAGATCACTTACTCAATCCGATAGGATGCCCCATAACCTTGAAATCTAGCAGATTCAGCTTGACGAGACCATTCAACATTTCATCTTTAGGAATGATAGCAGCCGAAAATGCAGAAAAACATTCTGGA